TATACTACTATATATATATATATATATATATATATATCTTTATATATATATATCTCTCTCTCTCTCTCTCTCTCTTTCTTTCTTTCTTTTTTATATGCCACGACCATTATGCACAGAATTCAGCAATTCTACAAACCCGCTTTCTGAAAGTCATGCTCTGATTTTATAACTGCCGACACTGAAGTTGTCGAATCGGTCGGGCGCAAATTCTCTGAGATCGCTGGATCGCTATCATATACTATTCGTACTATATCGGGTCTTCATAATACGATAAATATTCTGGCCCCACTAACCTCAAATGTTACATCACTTGCAGTCTGATATTGAACGTAGTGCTGGTTCGCAAGGTCTATCAGGAGCATAAAGTGGGTAAGGTCGCCAAGAGTAGATTGGTGCTGACACAAAAGGTGAGGTCGTGGTCTGGTCGCCCATACCGAATGTTTCTTGCTGCACCAATACCAGAAACGAACGCAAGTATTACTACGCGCATTGACACAGGAAAACGAATATGGCACGAGAAATATGCCAATTATAGTGTCAGTATGACAAAGTGCTGTATATTGGATCGAATCATATTACCAGGAAGCTATCGTCTAGAGCACAAGCTACCATTAAGAGTTTGAAGAAGAAGAAATGTTCAAGTTCTGTTATCCGAGTAGATTTTAATTTCTCACAAAAAAGCAACTTCCGATTATCTTTGGCGTTGCAGTTCATGGAGAAGAAGAAAGAGCTGAAGTACAACAGTCCGCATAAACCTTCGCTCGATGAGAGGCACTCGGATACAAAGGTACTTAGAGCCGATCGGTAGACACTCGCTCTAAATAGACTGTGTTTGTGTTCGCCACAAGAGACTACTGGTGCTTGGATGTGCGGTAGAATCTGTTCGATCTTGTGCGTGTACATAAGCGGTATGGTGGCCTTAGCTGACCGTCACCCCTCGGAATAAGTTGTTCTTACGGCGGGGTTGAGTCCCGTACACTCGAAGCGTGTGAGTGCCTTCCGATGCCTTGAAGCACAAGGCTACTAACATGTCACGCTTTCGAGGGAGGGACACAAGTGGGTCTGTCCGGCCGAGGAGTGCACTTTTAAACTGATCGTACTATAGAGTGAGACGTATATCTGCTGTTGATTCGATTGGATCTATCTCTTTGCAAGAGTGTCTCGTCACTCGAGACTCGTTCCGTTTTTTAAACTAGCAAGGATCTTTTCAACCAGCGTCAGTACATCTATAACTAGCTGACCCGCTTGTAATCATCTACAGGTCAAGCTTCGCAAACCGATTTCATATGACGCCCATGACATGCACATGAAGACTTCACAAAGTATGTTAGTGTTGGGCATGCTGGGTCGATATGCAGCCTCGATCAGCTGTGTCTCACTCGGCTTTTGCTGTTGTCTTTGTCCCCCGCGTGATCATTAACACCCCTGTGCATATCACAAATAATTTTCGTGTATGGCCTCTCGATAGTGCATTCACGCACAGATTCATGGATAGTACACGTATCCATGGCAACGTATAGATTGCCAAACGTTACTGCGATCAGTCACACTGCTGATGGGGCATCGTTTTGGTTATAAACATACAGTGCATGTATGCCGCCGCGCATTTTAATTTTATGTACTAGCAGAATCTTGTGCTTGTTAATAACTGGGTATACACGAGAAACGTTTTGTGTGCAAATGTAGTGTGTATACGCCAGATACCCTCTTTTGTCAATGTTATTCTTACAGGTATATGCTCGACGAATTCAGCATGCATTGGATTGCGTAAGATACCTATGCGCGTATAGTTCGCAACGAATACGTTGCGTACATACGTTCGTTTTGCAGGTATATAGTACTAATCTTAAATACATGTGTGGTCTATGGCTCGAACAATAGGCACGAATCTAGAATAATGTACATGTTTATGTATATGCATGAGTGCACGCATGATTATGTCTGTTTTTATTTGTTGTGGATCGCCTTATGACAATGAATTGACCGTACAAATCAGCGACAAACATACCTAAATAAAATTGGTATTGCGGCTCAGGGTCACGAATTGTCACGTGTGCGAAGCAAATCGAGGTAATTCCCTGTCCAATACATACTTAGGAGTTTCAGCTGACCCCTAATTCAGTGTGCGATTCAACCAGCAATTTGACCTACTACAATACACCATGCTCGGCATCGCAGGCTCGGAGTCTCTGAATTCACTGAATGGTGGTGTGCGGCATAGGCCGGGGCGTCAGAAATCGCACCTGGTCGCCTCAGACTCACTGAGAAATCTCATCGACGGTGACAGTCCCAAAAGGAGAAGCCACGCCGACTCTGCAGGTACTGCAACAGAAAGCAAAGGCCCTACAACACTGGCAGTGCCACATAGCTTGTCGCTGACTTGAGCTGTTGAGCCGCAAATTTGCGTCAACAAGAACGGCTTTGGATTGAAAACCGATTAATGTGAGTGTTTCAGTACGAGACGTGGGCGGATTGAGACGTTTGGCCTGATGGCAAGATCAGACTTCTCACAGCTACAAACAGCGACAGTTATGTGCGAAACAGTGGTGTATTCTCTCCCTGCTTGTCATTGAGGGCCATTCTGCGATCAGAAATTATACGGTAATTATTGCTACCTAATTTTGTAGCAATTATAGTGCAATTGGCAATAATCGCAGTTACAGGCAAATACAGCGTATTTCCAGTTGCGACAATCATAAGGACCTACTGGGTTGCTTGAGAGAGAGGCCTTATCGTCAGATTGATTACCACTGAGTTTCGGAATATAATTCCCAGAAGTCAGAGTCAGAACTTCAAACCAGGTCTCCAAACACAAGGCGGACCTCCGCGTGGTGAAAGTGGAGGAGAGAGTTCAGTGGACAACCGAGTGCACAGTCTGTCTCAGGTCTCTTGACACAGTCTATCCATGGCAAAGCGCAAACTGGACGAACCATATAGTGCCATATAGTGACGAAGATGTGTTCTTCACCTCAGTTTATAGTTGTGTACGTCTGCAGGCACGCCATCAATCATTCCGCGCGTTTTGCGAAACGCCGGCGTTGGCCGACACACGCCATGCGCACGAGGTTTAATGAGGCAGTTGTCACGGCTGCGATCTGCAGCGCTCGTATGCTACGCGTCGAGTATGGATGTGCATCGCGGACAAGAGTCGACATAGTATAAACAGCATTGTAAAATATTTCGGGTCGACGAATGTCGACCATGTCCTTGAATGTGTACACAAAGTACGCTATAGTTAGCAAAATGACACTTGTGCACGCATAGACGCATATGCAATAGTTTCGCAATTGAATAGCTGTCTGATTTCGTGGATACCATCACCACAATTGCTATACGGTGACGCCCTGCTTTCCACATATGTTTTACCTACTTTAGTACTCATAAACGCCGACAGTCTGAACGTTAGATTGGACGGGACTAGCCCTGCAATCGTGTTGTTGTGCTGTGATGCACTTGAGTGTGCATCACTTTGCAATCGACAACTCAGTCTGTCGATACACTTTTTTACTCACCGAATCTCGTGGCAGTCATCGGTCAAGGGCCATATGGTGTGGCAATGTTTGACGCTCCCCTGCGTCGTGTTGTAGGTTGAAGTAGTGGGGGTGTGCCTACCGGCCGACACAATACCGAGTAATCAAGTTTTGTGTATCCATGCAGATTCGTCCATAGCAACGCGACTTGATAAGGATAGTACCGTGAGGTCTCGCGTGGTGAGCGTGAGTGTAACCCTACTAGCCACTACCGAACAAAATGCTCGCAGGAGCTTACTCGCCATTGTCGACGCTGGTGTGAAGCAGTGAAGCTGCACCTCAGCTCGCTTACAAAAGATATCAACACCGACGTAGTGCAGTGTGCAAAGCTTTCAATACAGTCTCGGCCTACGCAATCGGCCCAGGCGTTGCCTTGAAAGGCAGCTTGGATGCAGCACTGGTGTGCGGCGATAGTGAACGTGCAAAGGGCCTTGCAGTCCTGATTCGGTACCCCTATTGAAATGAGAATCTTTAGTATGTGGCCATTAACCTGCGCTAGAGATATGCGATGCCTTGGCTTCTCCCTTTTTTTCTGTATAGGCCAGAAGCACCATAGTTTCAGCTTCGATTCTATGTTCTTCGTGGAATATTGCGCGCTTAGTACATGGTACTGGGCTTGCCAACGCGACGCTTATCGTCAACAAGGCGATTGTAGATACAATGTTAATATGTAGCTTCTCCCAATCTGGCCGCCAAGCCTGTTAATCCTCCGCATCAATACAGGCGATCGGCCAGAATGCTGTTGGGAACAACTAGGTTTCCCGGCCGAGTTGCTCGTTGCATTGTACCTTGTACTGAAACTGTTGACTTAACAATGCGAATGTGACGCAGCACGACAGAGCCATGACTGTTCTGAAACAGGTTGGGCTGCAGTTAGGAATTGTGGCATTTTGTGTGGCTGGTTCTTGTTGCAATGAGCAGCCTGCCATTCCTGGTGGGTTTGAAGATACATCCAATGAACAGTAGCACGCAGCCTTCCCGCAAGCAGGGCCTCGTGCGGGGTCTTGCATTCTGACACACTACTCGTGCACGTATCCCGACCATGCGGCCATCTACCATCCACGGTATTCCATTGTGCCTTTAACTAAGTAACTACTCCAGCGTATCTGATCTGCCACCTACACGTTCATCTCGGCTTTCCCGTCTATCATCGTATGTTTCTTCTGACTATTCTTATCAACACCGTGTATTGAGAGGAGTGCCTGTGCGATCAGAAGTGGCGCGACCGCTAAACGCCGGGAGTCCTTCGCACTCGATCGCCCATGTGTCATCTGTTTGAGAATATAGTCTATGGCATCTATTCAAGTAGAAATGAGATTGATATGGACAATGAATTTGGTTCTTCTTCGCCTGTGAAGGTTGATAGTGATAGTGAACATGAAATTTGGAAATAAACACAGCCGTCGTTTAAAGCGATGCCAGCTCTAGAAATTTGGGGACAAAAACATAGCACAACACCAAACTCGGTTTGTACTGTCCCAATCCAGGATTACCCTTCAATCTATATGTAAATCGAGAAGTGACAATATATACGGACAAAGACATGCACACCTCTGGTAGAGTTCTGCCACGCCTAATTTGACATGCGATTAGCACACGCATCACCCAATAAATAAAAAAGTAAAGGTAATCAGATACAAAAACACGCGCGACTCAGTAATGTTCTCCCTCATACGTAGACTAACATGATATTTTAAACCTAAATAGTGCCCTGAAGAAAGAACAATTGCTTCACATACACAGGAGAGGCATCGAGCATTCCAGGCCCAGCCTCCAACTGATCTTTTTAGTTATCAAACGACAAACCCCAAACCCAAAACCCAAAAATCTGCTGACTCGGGGGAATTTGGGTTGTGATAGTGTGAACGTTCAACACGACACTGAAATATATGAATAGCTAGCAGTACTACATGACTCTCAATGCTGATTTGCTTCTGTTACAACCATAGTATCCTGCACTCAACCGACACTTCGTGTTACGCACGACTTGCGAAGCGTGTTACGCACGACTTGCGAAGGGCAAGATAAACAGACCTATTCTATAGTCCTATTGAAAGAGCGTTGTGGAGTCGCAGCTGCAAGTGCGAAGCAAAGCCCTTGAATGAATGTATTGTGCATACTTACCTACAGCAGAGTCCTAGAAATTTCACAGATACGCCCCTCGCAGCCCCTCATATAAGTACGATAGAAATATCTAAATACACTATACCCACCCACAGTTGGATGAGATACGGTTACCATAGTACCAATGCCACAGGCGGATATTAAGTGGGCCTTGTCGGCCTACTACCGCTTCATTACGTCGCAGCCGGGAGGTACTGCTGCCAGCACTCTCCAAGGAAGCTGGAAGGTATCTATGGTGTATCATACAGCCAGTGATTACTTCCATGAACTCTTTTTCTTTTTTTTTATAGAACAGAACTCATCAGTGATATTTGTGCCTGTGTTTTGCGACTATATATACTTTACTTGTAAACGCTAATACTCGTGTGCATCGAAGCCACCGAATGTTTTTGCCGGGAGACATTTGCCGTTCAGATATGGTGACTACAAGCACCACTCATAAGCTACACATGAGCAGTTTGACACCTATAACCACCGCTATATGTACTTTTTAAGCGAAGCTTGAAGTGATCCTGTCTCCTTTGACCTAGAAACATTAAAAAGCACTTTGATTGGAGTAAGTGAGTCTGAGCGTAGGTTCGTGAGGCTATCACCGGTGGACATACTTTCGAGTGATTTGTTCTATATGCGTGGGGATTACACTTACGATATGAGTGTGTAACTCAGAAGTTCTGCAAGTGCGCTAGTGGCCAGCATCAATTTTAATCGATTATATGGCTAGGGGCGTGGCTAGCACTGTGGCCATACTATCGCTATTTGAAACTACATATATTGAACTATAGGGTATAGCTGACATAATACTTGTATTGAGCTGTGATTGAGTAACGTCCTTGCGCAAAGCGAAAGCATAGTTCAAACGCACGTTGACTTCGATGACTTGCCGCCGATTTCCGGTAGTGTGCACGTACATACGTATCTACTGTACATGTCATAGATGCGCGACGTATATGCATTTGTATTGTGACGTGCTGTCGATCGAAAGCTATTATTGTGCAACCATAATTCGTAAAAAAAATTGCATTATCTGTGTAGAGGAGCGAAATATACCTTAGCCTCCCTTTATCTATCTCGTCGGACGTGCTGTGGCGTGGCTTGAGAACAGGCTATAGTGTCGAAATGGCAATGCATCTGTTTTAGAATTAGAATTAGGCATGGTGATTGCTTTGTCATACAATATATTTGGCACCCATTTAAGTCATTAGGGATAGGAAAAAACGTTTTAAAGCGGGGACGATCGGGCGCTATTGGGGCGGTCGACTAAAGCAATCGAAATAAATTGCTTCAAAGAAGCACGGAGAACTCCAGTATATCGAAATGAATTGTTAATTTCGTCTATCTCTGCAATCTGTACCCCTGCGAATGACGCCCCTTCACTTACGCTGCAGAAGTATGAGCCAGCGACAATTGAGACTGTCGATATGATCCATGTTGTACTTACTCCTTCTGATACCCTCAGTGTCATGGACAGAGCTCGAGTCTTTGTAAGCCAAAGTGATACTCTACTTGTTTGCGGCTGATGGAGTTGTTAGATCCTTATTGCATTGCGCCGCACATCATGGTTCAATCTGTTCTTGCCTCCGGTTTTTTGTAAAGTAGTCTGTAGCGGTTTCTTAGGTGGCGTGCATCACATGCGTACTCTCGGTGACTTCTGGTGACGAGATCTCAATTTTTTTCTACTCGAATTTAGCCATCTAAAACTTCGTGTGTGGATCATATCGGTCACCTGGTTCATAGATTTTATCGGGAAATGCGCTGAGAGTCCTTGCTGAGCGAACGATTTTTTTTATGTCTTCACGTCTGCCTATGAAGCCACATAATTTTCTACATAATACGGACGTTAGCCATAAGCGATGCATCCTAGATTGGTGTATCCATTTGGGGTATTAAATGTTAATTTCAGCCGCCCTGCAAGAACCATGGTGGTCCGCAAGGAGTGTTGTCGATATGGATGGTATTTTTGGATGTTAGAAGATATCGAACAATTGTTGAGGCGGCGAATAGGATTTGATTTCATACGCATACCGTCGCCATAGGAAACCCACAATTTAATTGACCCAGCAATACGGTTAAAGGAAAACGAGGATGCGCCCGATACTGTAATAGCCTACCACAAATGCAAGGTGTGTTTTTAATTCGTATTATGAAGCGCTTAGACCCCGTGAACGTTTTTAGACCTCTTGGTTTATTTTTAATTTGCTTTCTGACTTATGCGTGATCCTCTCACCAATGGAATTCTTCTCTAAAAAGCAATTTTGTAGCTTACTGTGGTCGAATATCTCTAGACATGCTAGGTAGCTGTAGCAGCTTTGTTCATTGGATATATTGATACGGGTACATACCATTCGGCTCCATCCGAGGGTCGCTTGTGTAGCTGCGAGAATAAATCATTCCGTTATCAATGCTCTCCATCACGAACGGTGCTGATGCTCTATGTGTACTGGTGCTAATTACTTACATTCTGATGCGCTTATGATCCCGTTTGCAGACTGGAGTGCGGGTGAGTGGGTACGAGTTCAAATCAGGGGGGATTAAGGACCAATTCCTGCAAGCGATGCGTTCGTACCGTGTCTTGGCAGGTGAGTTTTGGCTATCGCTGTCATTGTGATTCCAAGTACTAGCTACTACATATGTCCGTTGATGTACTGTTCCCTGTCAGGCGCACGTTGATTTGAAGCCTTCTTCGGGTTCCGGATTACGCGTATTCGTATGGGAGCTTCTATTCCTTAGAAAAGTGTCCCTGATCAGAGCAGAAAATGCATCACATCACCACAATTGGACCGATATTTTATAAAAACAAAGTACATGACCAATTCGTCAATTGCACTTGGCTGATGGTATATATGGCTTGCTATCAATATCGTGTAGGAGCTGAGTCAAATTCATCCTCTGCCCCCAACGAGAACACCTCGCAACTAAACGAATCCGACTCTGGGCTACAGGAGAGCGATGCAACTTTCAGCCAATACGATGTGAGTCTGCTCGCTTGCTAGACAGACAATGCTGGGGTGCGCATTGAATTTGTTACCGCGGGGTTAGGTGGTGATATGTGACCTATTGTATGACTAACTCACTGCTTCCGATTGGGTTTCTTTGGTGGTTGCATTCGATAACTTTCTTGATGACACAAGAAATCTATGACAGATGACATAGCCTCTGTTCGCTGCGAATTGATCGGCTAGGATGGGGCCATAAGGTTTAAGGTTGTTCTTTATTAATGGCTTACGCTATCGCAAGCGAGTATTTAACAATGTCTCGTAAACATTGATTCAAATAAGCCAATCAGCCGGTGTTGTGGTGGTGGCTGCAGTCCCCCTTGTAGTCACACGTACGTGCTTGCTTATGTAAATCACATGGCATGATGACCAGTCCTTAGAGAATAGACCGCACAAATTGGTCCGGCGGCAGAACAACACCTGGTCGCAGATATCAACACTACCTGAAACGCAAGACGTCACATCCACCTTAGCCGAAACGCAAGAGGTTTCGCAGTCCAGTAAGTGGTTTGTCTTATTCCGAATGAGGCTAGGCTAGGATACATCCGGCATTCTACACTCTGTGAGTGACTCCCGCTGCTATCCATCATAGTATGCATAATACTATCGAACCGAATCGTCAATCTGAGCCGCCAGGACATTGAAGACCATACTCTTATTGATATACTCTTGTTGATTTCCTTCGTCCGCAGCTGTCATAATTCAATTTTTATTATTTTAACTTCACCAAATCTGGTCAAGACCGACTCTGGGAGCGTTGACTGCTGAATCAACCTACATAGTGCATTCATTATTTCTATGACTTCATACTATGTAGACAGTACACTCTATCAATGGAATATGTATCTACCGTACAGTAGGAACCTAGCTCTGATTTGTCTAATTGGGATGCCAATATATTTCGTATTATCTTCGAATTTGGAATCTCCGCCAATACGCAGGTACCCTGTTCCTAACGAACAACACAGTAGATGATACGCCAAACAAGCCCGAAGCCAAAGTATGTCCAGGTTTCTCATGCTTTTCTTCACTCATTTCGACCCAATCAAAGTCCGCGTCCCACTATATCCGCACAAACGCATCCAAGCTTACTACTGCGACTAAACGATCACTGTCCGAAAAGACTTCTCCGTCATTGCCTTCTCATTGGATTTTCGGCACGTAGTCTTGTGATCTCGCCGCCATTTTGGCAAATATGTTCTTGCTCGTCGCAGACACGCAGAAGCCCGCAAGTCGCTATCGTTTCTCGAAAGGTTTTAGTTGCGCCACTGTCACCACGTTATCACGGTACTAATCGGTTTCTCACGTGAAATCGACTATCTGTTCCGTATATAAACAGCGACCCCCTGACAGTCCGCCGCCGGAGCTCACCAGACTACTCAAGAAGAGGAAAACAGAACTAGGGATACCCGTCGAAGTAGACATCAGTGTGTTCTTGAGACTCTGTCTGTTAGATCCGTATGTGACCAGAGAGACTCTGTCTGTTAAATCCGTATGTGGCCAGAGGAGTCGGCCATCTTTCTGCGATGCAACTTCCTTTCATACCACAAAGTCTCCTGACGTATTCTGCACATTCAGTACTATGTCTAGCTCGTATCATCCAACATGCACAATGTTCAGGTTTGATTTAATACGCTCTACCTCTGGTCGGTGCTGGCTTTGGTGGCATGTCACTAACGTGCTCGTCTGCGCGGTCCTTGTATCTCTCGCCCATTGAGTGGGCAGCACTGTCGCAGGTGTGTGTGTGAAAACTTATCTGACCATCAAGGCTTTGAAATTCTTGATGCAGGACTTTCCCAGAATTCGTCGAGAAGATAGAACAGGAATTATGCGACGTGCTCAAGGCAGACTGACCGACTCGCTGTACATATGACATCGGACCTTATTGAATGCGAGCACGATAACCAATACATACCTAGCATCGTCTTTAGAAATGGCGCAGAGTTGTAGAACAATAAACTTGACAATTTCCGAGAACACAAGAAATGTAAATTGCGGTATGCGCACTACCACAGAGCCAGAGTTCATATTAAAATGGATACCGCACAAGCTCACCATGGATCGAATAGCAATCAAACAGCAAGAACGCTACAAGACTAGGCTATATTCAACGCAAATCTGTATGTTGTCAATACTGATGCATCTCAAAATAGCGGCGATGAGAAAGGCAGCCAAGGGATATTTCAGGAGATTATTGACGAGGTGCAGAATGTGAAGATGGATTATTCTGAATAAACTAAACAGTACAACAGCAGCAATCACATAGCCTAGGAGAATTGTATGGTTCAATTTGCCGAGTGGCCACAAACCTATGAATACCACTGAATAAAAGAAGCACGTGCGCGGCTCTTCCCATGTTTTCGAAAGGGGTTGTCCTCAACCTAAAACCCCAATACCCACAACAACCAAAATTATAATTCTACCATCACTTCCATGATATCCAAAGGTCTCAACCTACGCAAAGACGATGAAACAGTCGCGGCTTTAATTGAATACTAACTATTACGTCGCCTGGGGCATTCTACCAGGCATGACAATGGCACTTGCTGACAAAGGACACACTTCTTCCTTGTCGGTCTGTACTGGTGGGGGTGCCTGGTTCTGTGGGATACCTTTCTGTAGAGGCCTGAAGTAGCCCTTCACCGTGTCGTTCAGAACGATTTCTTTGCGATTTTTCTCCACGTATGCGCACATTTCCTTGTAAGTGGGTCGTTTACTGGGCGGGGAGGGATCCACGGCATCATTAGCCATTTGTCCAAACAACATGTATTTTTGTTCCGTTGTTTCGTTATCATCGTCAACTCCACCTGTCATAACGGAAAGAAACATTGTCGAACTCCAGTTACATAGAGGCCTCGCGACCGGATCATGGTTTGTAATGGTATGTTGTTCATGTGTTCTTCCAAACTAGACTCAAACATATCAACGCAACTATATGCGACAATCTCATAGCAAAGATAGAAAGGGCATACCGGATCCAGTTATACGCACGGGCATGCCCTCGGGAAAGCTATTCCAGGCCCCAGGGAAGAACCAGAACGAAGGGAAGTGGCCGCCTCCCCAGGTGTGTGCACCGTTCGGCAGCTGATTCTCAGACACATCCATTTGTGCGATCAACACGGCGTCATCCATCTCGTATTTGGCAGCAAGTTTCTTCAGCGAGCTCTGTAGTGTGTAGGGTACGTAGGACGACTCAATGAGTGGTATGTATCGATCTTTCACGAGCTTTGAGCCGATGGTGTGTAGTACCATGCCCACAAACCAATACAATGCAATGCCAACCCAGCCATCTGCTAATCACGCTTTGTTGAATAGACTTGTGTGTCTGAAAAAAGTCTCTGTGTTGAACATCGTACTCTTGTTCAGGTCATACAAAGCATATCCGTGTTGTTGTTAAATTGCGACCATACGATGATTCGCAGTCTACGAAAAGATGTATAGTGTGCAGTTTAGATAGATAGTATTTAAAGAACAGACTCAGCTGCAGTTGTGGATTTTTTATAGGCTACTTAGACGTACACATTTAACAAGCGGCAATGAGGTCTACTGACTGTGTGCCAACATGGCAATAGGTGTGTGTACAAATGCCAAGGCACCTCATGCACGTGAGTATGAGAGCAGGGCAAGATGTATCTGCTCCTTCAGAATTGGTTCATTTTATGAAGGAACTGTAAAATGACTAAATCAGTAAGATAGCGAATTCAGATTGGCTTGGCAACGGTGTTCGTCATGGAATTAAAGATTATTCGATTGCACATTTGCACCATAATAAGTTTGACATTCACTTCAGCTACATAGTCAAATGTATGCACCGTTGTAACTACCATTGCGGATGAGTGGTAATTAGTACAACCCTCATGTACACCCATATGCATGTGAGCATACCAATACGTGAAAGTACACTATGTTATGTGCCCTCATAATCAAATGCAGGCATACACATCTGCCTTCGTTTGGGCCATTAAAGAGTCTATAATTGCTCGCAATACTGTTCATACAAACGGCCTATTCCTGATCGTAGTAGTTATAATCACTTTACGCCTTATGCACTCCGACACAATCTTACCTTTGCGTGTTGGGTTTCTGACATTCCTATATGAGTGCTTTTCAGAAAACTCTTTAAGCTTGCAGTGCGATTCAACTTTGACCTCTTACTATCCTCCTCCTGCGTCGAGTGTTGTGCCTTCTTACTCTCGTAGAGTAGCACGACGGTGTTTTGATTGGCATTGATACTTAATGGCATGAAAGTGTCTGTCACAAACACAGCGCGGCCGTCCTATTTATAGCAGAAGCAGACAATCGTTAGGATTCGGGTATGCTTCGAAGATGAAGAGTAGCTAATAATTGAACGAACGTACTGTAACAAAATTTGCGAACACTCCTACGAGTAAAGCTGTCAATCTTATATGTCCACCAGAAACCTTGCCTGTTATAGAGAATATGCCAGTGGACTGGCGATTGGATCACAAGATAGACACACTTTCTCGATACCTTGAAACGGAATACCACTTTGCACACGCTCTACCACTGCAACTCTGACAACAAACACTTACACGTGATCGATAGATCTCACTCGAACGCATATGTGTCAACTCTTGTATAAACGCGGGCGCCGGATCGAACTCTGTCAGTGGTAGCAAGTATGTGGAGATATACACAGAGGCAAAAAAAAATTTTACCATAATCTCGAGTGAACGTCGCTTCAAACTCGGACGCGCACTAGGCAGTATTGATATACAATTGTTCATCTCACCTATAAATTCATACTCTCACATTTACACTGACGGCGGTGGATACACATACGCGCTTGGCTTGCTGTGCTGGTGCTTCCTGGCCTTTCAGCCGTGCGTCGCCCGTCACTCGTTCGTAGTATACGATGTGGTCTATAATGGTGAGCTTGTGGAACGGCACGCTGCTCTGCTTCTTGGCAGTCAGCTGGAGGATGGTCATGGGATCGGACACAATATCGCCATTTCTTCCTTTGACGCGGTTGCCTGTGGTGATGTGAGTGTGTAGTTGAAGTCTACAACAACTACTGGCGAGCAAGTCTCAGAAACAAAAACATTCATGCATTCTCTTAACTAGCCCGCCCTGGGTAGGAAATCATTGTAGAATCGCAAAGTGTGCTTGGTCCAATGAGCGAATCCGTGCGAAGTCATGGCTCAGGTTCACAACGGTGTATTCAAACCACGCTATGTAGCGCAGGGGAGGGTACAATACCTTTGACATCTCCCTCGAACCACAATTCTACCCCTACATGTCGGAAACCCATTATCCTCTGCGGCAAGTGGGGCACGGCTGAAATGATGGAAAATGCACACGTGCTAAGTATCGAACACTTTTGGCGCCCATGAATAAATGCAAACCCCCAGAAGGTATGTCAAGTTTAATACTGGAACTCAGAGCCGCACATTCAATTTGCACGAGCAGGGATAAACGAATACGATCTCAAATGTGACATACAGCTCGACTCGCATTCGACAAAGTAACGCGTCGTGTCGAATCATTGACCATTAAAGAGGCATATCAAGACCTTCTGTATAGACTTTTGCACAGAATATATTTTCATGCATTACCTGAGAACGCGCATGCATTACCTGAGAACGCGCGTCTGATAGCAGATAAAGTCGTAATGATTGCCTTAGCAACCGAGTTGCGTATAGTATTAAACACGCATGACCACCCTGATCAACGCCAAATAATTGAGTGTTCGAGCGAGTGCTTGCTTCCAACAAATTAGAATCTTTCTCATTGCTGAGTGTAGGCCGTCTCTATAAGATGCTTATCGGTGCAACCGACGACACTGGTTCATCGTACGGGCATCAAATACTTTCGCGCCACATGACATACCATCGTAGTTGTTGATGATACGATAAAAGTGATCCACCTTGGAGTTGAAGTACTCCTGTGTGTGAAAAGGCCGTTATCAGCACATAGCAGTCTAGTCATGGCTGTAGGTGGCACGTTTAAAGTGCACCTCTTGCATGTAGTGTAGAAGATATCCGCACCCAATATAATTGGGATACTGCTTCCTAGTCGTGTTCAAGAGACGAGAAGCTGTGGTTATACATTTTGCCATCCTTCACTGCAATTGCCACAATTATATGTTGCCAGTGTGGGAGTAAGAAAATACAGCGCGGATTGTACCAGCTGACTGTGTGACAGGAGTGAGACTAATTTACTACTCACATATGAGAAGGCGTTCAAAAGTTGCTGTAACAAGCACAACAGAAACATATTTACTTAAAGAGACCCGCGCACTTTGGTGGATGGAGAATTCTGAGTAGCAGCGATATGACAAGTGGAACGGATGCCCTAATAGCAAATAAGAATTCAACACTACTGCAAAGAGATATCACACAGAGTCACTTATACCTACGATAGAAAATAACATCCCGCCACTCCATCGAACCCAATCCAGCTTATAGAGATACGACTAGTTTCGAGAGACACACCCAACACGGGTAAACTATAAGGCAAGAATAAGCGATACGTCGAGTGCTACTGCATTGTCACTGCATGTTCTTTCTCTGTTCGCTCTGTGTGAAACTCATACGCTGGAACAGGGCTGCTGGACGAATTACATGAACGAATACACATTGATCGCACCCCGGGCGCGCTCTGTACCTACTCTGAACGCGACATTTCCGGCTCTGGGTTGACCGAAGGTATATCCTGTGCACTTGATACCTGCTAATGACAACAGCAGACAGCAGAAGGTGGCAAGCGCCCCACCTAAGCTGCATTCAGGAAGGTGACAACAATTGTGATAAGATTGGTATTTGGCGTAAAATATGCAGTACTCAAAGCAGGGAAATGACGACTCCTTGGTCCCTAATAGCTGTAATAGCAAGTAGCTTTATGATAGCAAGTAAAGTATGACATTTGCATATCAACCTGAAGGGCGTAAATATGACAAAGAGATTGAGGCCTAAAGGAGACCTAGCGCAGCAGAGGATGAACACCAGTGTGTTGCATACCGTGATCAGCCTCACCTGTGACCTGTGATGACCACATCGTAATCGGGATGTTCCATCTTCAGCCGCGTGATTTCTTTGATTACCTGAATACAGTCATGCCACGGCGATAGTTCAACGGTCATTTGAGGTACAGTCGTGCTTCGGAACTCTGGTTCCCAATGTAGACAATACAAACGCGTGAGAGGGGACTGCCGCATATGTGTAAGGCCCAAATGAGGCTCTGGAATATGGGAGTTATAACAAGATGACGGGAAGCCCTTAAATTGTAACATATAATATTCTTGTCTCAGGGTGCATTCACCACTTTTCTCCTGCACTCACTAGCCCATGATATGGAAACAAGGACAACAGGATGACGAGATGTGCGGCATATGAGAAATAAACACAGAATGTGCACCATATCAAACCTAAACTATTCAGACAGATATCGAGCGCTGCATTGGCGCATACCTCGTCACTTATCGAGCTGAAAGTTCGCCAGAAGCCTAAGTGAAATTTAACGCCTTTCGCATCCGGATACCCCTCATCTTTAGCGGATATGGCTATTGCCTGTACTCAAAGGAATCGATTGGATCACCAACTATCGCAGACGAGATAACTATACTACAATGAATACACTTCCACAGATCGGAACGAAAGAGGCGAGGCAAAACTGCAGTACATTCTGGTTAATGAAATAATCGAATACGCGGACAGTGTCCATAAAGAATGATTGTCGGCTTCACCTTCACAAGCATCCCTCTAGTTGCAACGGGTGACAAATGATATAAGGACATAGTCCACTATAACTGCGATGATGACACGGACCCTGCACCAGTCTAAGGACGAATTTGAGGCAAATAAAACTCATACTTATGAGTTACAGGGTGGGCAAGGCCCCTCAAACTCACCTTCAGATTATTTATCCAATTAGTATTGCTTTGTGTTCCTCGAAATGAAGCCACAATGAAGTTCCTATTCAAATGTTCGTTGCCATCGGCTTTCCTATAGTGGAAAGTATGGTTTGTAACAAACACATAATAAGAGGTCAATAAATACAAACTTTGAAAGCCCACTGGCCAAAGTGTACGAAACTAGTACGAACAGACGGTCAGATCAACGATTATCTTTATCCGCATTCTGAGCAATAAATTATATGCATGTATTTGTGAGGTTTTTGTGAGAGGGCGTTATACACTGCCCAATCATGCGCTCTAGGTCGGAACTGCATGGAGTAGCGGTAGAACATCAGCTACATGAGTATCGGAAGAATGCTATTGAAAAGATCTGAATACATTCGTGTATATATTTGTGTATATTTCAAGTATTCTTATTCAGTGTTAAATAAGTATCATCATGTGCAGCACGTTTCTATAAAGCTACCTTACTTTCTGAACGATGCCAAGTATACCTGATCAAATAGAAGTCAAAGATTACTAAGTAGCATCCATCCACTTCAATACACCTACCCATTTGCCGCCTGTAGGCCCACGAATGCGCTTGAGTCATAGTCTTTGTGTGTGGCTCTGAGAGTCGCGGTGAAGTTGGGTGGCAGATAAGGATCGCATCCACACTCTGTCATTGGATGGCAGCACCGCATTGTACGACTTAGTGCTTACCTCCGCTGTCGCTATATTAAAGTACAGAGTGTGTTGATGGCGGCCACTGCCAGCAAACTCGCTGAAAGATGGCCTCAGCAAAATAACAAACATAATACAGCTATGAACTTTGAACATCACTAAGACAAGACAAAAGAAGGTCACGCGGTTACTGAACTGGATCTGCTATCATATGCTGTCGAATTTGATACAACGGACGCGTCAAGCCTCACCTAGAATTGAAGTATTGTGCAATTTACAGTACGCTGCAGTTGTATATGTCACCATCACCTTGACCAGATCGTGCGAATAGCCCTGCAAGATGGCGATGACAGGGAGAAAGTACCGTACATGTTGCATAGTAAGTCTGTAGCATTAGACTTTGTTTCTTTGGAAGTAGCTGCTATGTGAACCCCTATTTTGCTCACAGCAAGCATGCATGATCAAAGCGCTGTACCCTGTGTACAGACGTACGGATGCGCTCAACCAACCAACCCGGGAATGATCCGGTGCGCACTTTCCTTTCCTTGTACTTACATTTGTATGTTACAAGCAGCCCGCTTGGTGTATATGCATGGATAGACACGCGGTTAAGCACTAATCAATGCATAAAAAGACAACATACCAGGGGGAATTTCTTCGGTGTGTCACTGTCGTCACTTGCACTGTGGGCCTGTGCCTTCAGGCCTGTTTCGGGTGTGAATCATATCAAGTCAAATAGTACCGGTGACACTGGTACTCACACGTTTCGCCACACCGACTGTCTGCGTTCTTTTGGAGACTATGAGTACATGTCAACTGGTCACATATCGCCTTGACTCGCTGTAGGCACAATATGGAACTAGCCCATCAGCGCAATGATATATGCTTTCTCACCTAAACGCACACCAAACCAAGCACACTAGCAAACATTTGGTAGGATGGATGCGGGATATTATTACCAAATCACCATACGCACACACCACAGAATGAATGAAACACCAGTCTGCACCATACTGTGAGTGTACAGTGTGAGTGTACAGTAGTGCAGTCAGAAGGCCATCCCACACGCTAGTAGACGCTACCATTCATGCCTGATGCGCTGGTTGAGCGCGACGATTTCTCGTGTGTCTTCGCAGAACCGGTCATGCGTTTGAACCTGTTGCTCACTGACGCAGAAATCAGCGTATGTTTGCTGCGCGATAACGAATTAGTAACGAATGATATATAGATCAATAATTACACTGTCATAGATATCCAAAATATTCACTCACGCTTGTCTCAGCGTGCAGGAAACATGCACAGATGGGTATAGTGCCTGGCTACCTGCACCGCGAATACTGCAAGCTCGCATTACATTCACTCGCAGTACTAACTGATACGGTAGCCGAACTCAGAAGAGTGGCACAAACCTCAGGCACACTCTGAGTTGGACGACTTATGACCTTGGAAAAATCAATTACTGTTGGGCACTCAACCGGTGTGGTATATATTGACTACAAGTCGCAAACTGTGTAGATAGCAAACTATAGATCACACGCTGACGTCGGGTGCGAAAGGCAAGAAATGACTCCAATACCAGGTGGAGCAATACCAATAGGCGTACAACAATACAACGGAATACACAGACAAGATAGCAGAAACAGTGCCAGAGCAAACCAAATGTTATACTGAGGACGGAGGTTACTTACGTCGACAGGGTTTTAAGTGTGATTTTCCCTGTTTCCGGTCGGATTATTTGTCTGTAAGCATTGCAATACTCGTCCTATGTGGGTCGGAGAAGATCGTTGATTAGAATCTGAGGATTTCCTGTGAATGAGTGGCCGCCATAGCTATTGGAAGCAGTTCAGAACGAAGCACAGAACATGCATAACCGGATCGTCGATTGGCACGTATTAAATTACCTATACTACGTGTACAAGGGTAGCTATTTGGTATATAAGCAGCAGCGTGAACGGACAGTGAGCGCTCCTCTGTGCACTTACTACGCCAGGATATGTGTAAATCGGGCTGATAAGATTGAGACTTTAAAATCTCACACACACAAGAGTACTATACTTATATCTATATGAAGTGTTCGAACCCGCTCCCATACATGATCTCCGCTCCCATTCATGATCTCCGCTCCCATATACATGATTTCCCATGCACTCCGCATATACGTCGGTGGTGATCCATTGATAGCTAAACATGATACTCATGTTCTCAACAATCATACGGCATATACAACTTGGTGAAAGATAGAAACGTATGTAGTGAACGAAACACCGAACCCGAAATCTATGCATCTATTCGACGTATAATGTGAAATTATAGAGCGCCCGTTTTGGCATTTAGATTAGTTGGCCTATTTCAATCGCGCTTCTTGATACGTGGCTTATGGTACTAAAAACCAAGGTAGATATCTAATACTTTGATCACCTCACACTATTACGCCTGTAAACTCTTTTTTTTTTGTGAATTATATGGACGCTTAGCTCTGTCATGCAGATATTCCGTCATTCGGATATATCGGGGCAATGATAGTGATACCCAGGGGAGTGCAAAAATTCAACAACCAATACGGGCTATGCAACACTATTATATTTTTCAAACATAGATCTGAACGTATACCAAACTTCCTCAAATTAAACCGGTATATGAAGCGTCGTTCATAATTTTGTTGTGTGATTGGGCCCTGAAAAAGCTAGTCTAGCATGCACGCAGTATATAATACCAGTTCGTTGAGCTTCCCTGCTAACTCTCCGTCGACTTCCTCATCTTCACCTGCATTGTCGGTAGTATCATTATTGCATTTTTCCTCTGCTTCAGTCATTCTATATAGCTAATATATGTACTATCGTATGGAAGCTCGTGTATCTTGAGTATATTTTGAAGTCAATTGTGATTTTAATGACAATCTACGATCGTTCGTATTGTATTCCCGAGGTTTCTCCCGCTGACTTAGTTCGAATGCTGCTTGAGTTTTATAGTTAAGGCAAGCTTGCATGTGCATAACCAAAGGTATAGACTAAACGGCGTGGTATGTATTTGGTATTAACAGGAGCTGTTGGTATGTAAATAAATAACTAGCTTGGTTTATAAGCTATTAAAAAAGTTTACTGTAGAGTACAAATGTAAATGTATTTACTTATTTTTTTTAAAAACAATAGTCTTTTTAGAGGGGGCTATGAACATGACCCACTCTTTTCGAGAGAGAGAAGAAATAAAATAATATGCCTGAAGTGATCGGCCTATTTATGTATTGTCCGATGAACAATTCTAAATATTTTAATTTTCAGGAGGCCATGTATGTATGTATTTTTAATGTATTTTTTTTAAATGTAAATAGTAAATACATACCATACCTGAGACCTGAGTCCTAACATAAAGCCTAAAGTTCAAACTTTTATAATCAATAAGTTTTACGTTTAAGTTCGAACTTTTTTAAGTGTTATATGGACCACTGTCAGTTGGATGGGTGCAACTTTCGGGTCATAGTGTCAATATCAGAATTGTCCCTTTTTTTCTTCAAACAGCCCGTCGGCACCCGCCACAATGACCGTTTTGTGAAACACTTTTTATTGTTTTGTTATTTTACATGCCTTCCTTTCTGGCTTTGTACGTGCAATGACCGCGCATTCTGCTAGCTGCTGCTGTTGTACGATTCCGTGTCCCATGACCGTGTGCCGTGTGCCGTGTCAGTGTGTTGACTGTGGTGACGACTGCGGCTGCGAAAGTATTTAAATTTCTGCTTGTACAAAGTACAGAACTAATATAATTAAAGAAATCAACTGCAGCCAAACTTGTGCCACACCTGTTAAACACAACCTTTCTATTTGAGAAGTCACTACTTTAAATATATATATATATATATATATGTGTGTGTGTGTGTGTGTTATGTGTGTGTGCGTGCGTGCGTGTGTGTGCGTGCGTGTGTGTGTATGTGT